GCCCTAAGAGGTTGGGGCAGCCCAGACACACTGTGGTCTTTGGTAGGGTCAGGGTCAAAAGCATGCCGAAATTGGGATTTAATACGTTACCCAACTACATATACTATGTTGGGAGTTGATATATTAGTAACGAAAAGTATCAGGGTTTTAGGCCAACTATACTACTCTTGTTATTGTACTTTCTGGCTACATTTAACACCTCTTTAACGATAAAGAAAATTCAAAATGTTGCAACGAGTTGGAAAAACAGTAGAGTTTAGGGAGGAAATATCAAATTCGCAGTGAATTAAAGATACAATAGGATTTAAGTTGCAAAATATAGCCAAAATTCGATGACTTTCATCATCCAACATGGGGATTGAACCATCAACCATCGTACATGTCTGCACTGAAAATCATCAACCAAGATGCGGATTGAAGCAGCAGGACATGTGGATTTAAGCACAAAACAAGATGCAGCCCACGAACCCCAACGCTCACACGTATGTTAATGGTACAGATGTCGAAACACATGGAAATGCAGTCATGCAGAACACTTTTCTGAAACAGTTTTTGCAATCCCAAAATTCGCGCGAAAACAAGCACCATACCAAATAACACCTTATGTGCGCAGAGGCAAAACATACAATCCAACAGAAAAAGCAAGATCCTGCCACCGTCATCCCCCACTTGCACGTTGTAATTACATGGAAATGCTTCTAGTGACCACTGTGGCACTGCTCAAAATGAAAGCAAAGACAACTTTGATAGACTGTCTCCTCACAGTATGTACAACCTGAAACTACAAGAAGCAATCGAATCACCGTGTGCAGTAACAGCTGTTTTGCATGAAGCCCAGGCACTGCGATGTCAACATGGTTTGCGATTCCCACGCAGTAGTATGGCACACGTTGCACAAACTCCAAAAGCAACATCTCTTGCCGCAGCACACCATGTACATGTCTCAGCTGAACACAGCGCGGGAAGCTCGGCAGCAGCACAGCAGCAATGACACCAAGAAGCGTGGTCAGCGGCAGCAGCATCGCCAAGCAGCAGCCGAAAGCCACCACAAGCCACAGCGCCGCAGCAGCAACATACCGTGTGACGCGCCCTTTCAAGCAGCCAGTGCGCGCCAGCTTTCGCCATTGCAGCGCTCGTGGTCGGCTCGCCATCTTCAAAATACACACACAACACAGTCATGCACAGACACACACACACACACGTCACACACACTCACACGTCCTGCACTCACATGTCGACAAACATCCATATCTCTACTATGCTTCAAACACTGTGGCTCAAGTGTGTACAAGTTCTGCGTACGTTGCTTCAAACACTGTGGCTCAAGTGTGTACAAGTTCTGCATATGTTTGTCACCAGCTGGGTGCCCTCAACACAGCCAATTTTTGTCAACTTTGGTGACAATAGAAAGCAATAAAAGAACACCACCCCTATGAACATCATTGAACACAAACATCTCTACAGCCCACATGCTTGAAACAATGTCAGTCGACTGCGTGCGAAATTTGTTGCAGCCGAGCCCAGCAATCTTATAAACATCACTGAATTGCATTAACTCTAAAAACGTCATGCTTGAAACGGTTTCACTCGAGTGCCTCAGAAATCTGCGTATGTTCTGTCCCGAACTGTGTATGTTGATCGAACTCTTGAAGCTGAGCACAGCCAAAATCTGGCAACAGAAATCTGGCGAACCAAATTGGGTGAAACATCAAAACTGGCAACACGACAACAGCCCGGAAACATCACTGAGCGGCAACACCTGTACACTCCCCAAGTGCTTGCGGCCTCTTTGCCTATTCTGTAACGAACTGTTGGAGATGAGAATGTTCAAACCGTTCAAATTTCACAACAATAGAAACTGGTAAAACCACAGCAACCGTACGAACAGCACTGCAACAAAGTCAAGCCTCCACGACCCAAATCGCACATGTGAGACGTAAAGTGTAAAGTGTGAAGTGGAAAGTGGAGGGTGTACAGTGTGGAGTAAAGTGTGGAGTGTACAGTGTGGAGTGTAAAGTGTGGAGTGCAAAGTGTAGAGTGCGGAGTGTAAAGTGTAGAGTGTAAAGTGTCGAGTATGGAGTGCGGAGTGTAAAGTGTAGGGTGTAAAGTGTAGAATGTGGAGTGTAGAGTGTGGAGTGTGGAGTGGGAAGGGAAGCGTAGAGTGTAAAGTGTAGAGTGTAAAGTGTGGAGTGTAAAGTGTGGAGTGTAAAGTGTGAAGTGTGAAGTGTAAGGTGGAAAGTGTCAAGTGTGGAGTGCGCAGTGTGGAGTGTAAAGTGTGGAGATGTAAAGTGTCGAGTGTGAAGTGTAAAGGGTGGAGTGTGGAGTGCTGCGCCTGCCACGCAAAATGACGACAGAGATCTCCAAAATGCTGCGCCTGCCACGAAAACTGCAACTCATCTTGTGAAAACGACACCAGAGTATTGCGCCTGCCACACAAAACGACTTTGGACACGTTATCAAAGAGGTTGGAATGTCACAAAGCGCCGCGCCTGCCACGCAAAACGACATGACAACCTGCTTGGAAACATTCGAAAAGGAGAGGTTTTGCACTTCCCCCATAGACACGGCGAGGCCACAGCTCGAGACGAGACACGTGGGAGCATCAAACCGAGCAGCGAGACTCCTCCAATTTTGACACTTTGTAGCTTCAAAATCGCTGTTTTCCTACGAGTTTTCCTTAGAACCTGAAAATTTGCTACCTCAAAAGCGATGTTTCGTGCGAGGCTTCCGTCAATTTTCATCACATCTCATAAAATGCCATTTGCACCTTGTCGCCACTTGACGCCGCCCTGCCAATGCGATTCGCAAAAAATACGCGAGACTGCGCCTGCCACGCAAAATGAAATGGACACGTCCAAAGTGCTGCGCCTGCCACGAAAATTGCAACTCATCTTGTGAAAACGACACCAAAGTATTGCGCCTGCCACACAAAACGACTTTCGACACGTTACCAACACGTTTGAATGTCACGAAGTGCCACGCATGCCACGCGAAACGAAGCAACGCCACATGTGAAACCTCCAAAAGTGACCCCTTTTGCAGAACTTATTATGGGCACGGCCATACTGGGATCGCGCGGACGGTTGCGAACGGTTGCGCAGGGTTGCGAACAGTTGCGGACGGTTGGGCAACCGCGAGCGAACACACCCTCAACCCCCAGACCCCCAGAGTGAAACGGGAACCCTCGCTACGCATTCGGGAAAAATGGGATTTTTAATCATCAAATGGACTGTTGGGTCCGTTATTTTATTGTCGTAAATAAAGACAGATACCAGTAAGAAAGAAACATCAAGTTTTCGAATACGAAAGTTTATACATGTTTATACTATATCTGAGATCGTTTATTGTTCTGCTATTGGGTCATGAACAGCCCGCTTCAAGCCCCAGCAGGTGGTGCCCTAGTTAGGCAAGTTGGTAGATATGGGGGTCACAGGATGATGCCTCCCCAGGTATGTTTGTTGGCTTATAAACCATAGGAATAGTATAGACATATCTACCATAAACCATAGTGAAATGGGAGTCATAAACCAACTTAGCGTTCACGAACTGGGGCACCACCTTGCATAAACCAACTGATATCAGTAGATATGGGATGTTAAGTCCCATGTATAGTAGGTACATGATGTATCTATACTTGATGGGGATTTATTTGACATGTACACTACTATAACCTGGTTTTCGTAAGAACTTTTCTTACGGCACTGGATGGAGCCTTGCGGAGCCTTAGGCAATGTGCAGCTCTCTTGTAGCTATGGAGTGCTCTCTATCGATGCGTTTGGGATCCCAGCGGCCCATGTCTGGTGGTGGACCACAGTCCAGTTATAACCTGCGTGAACCAGCCCCCATTTCTCGGAGTTCTGGGGCGAGCAGCAAGTTGGATGTGAGGAAATTGAAACAACAATTGTGGTGAAATAATCAGGATATTACGGAGAATTCCCGGGAAATCTAGATGGGCAATTAGGCATGCATCCTTTTTTTCATATTTTGCCAGACATGGAATTGCTTATTACCCTCACAAGTCAAACCTGTTTGGGTTAGTATTCAAGATTGGCCTTGTAAAAGCACTGTTTCTGAGGGGATTGTCATGAGTCCAATTTTGAATGCTACTCACCGTTTTGATCATTTGGGGTGTCTTTAATCCACAGTGAACACTAAACCTGACACTGGTATGATGGATTGAAAACTAGAGGTCCACAGGGGGGCAACTGCTGATCGTATTCCTACTGTTTGATTATGTTGTCGTCACTTTCTTAGCTGGCCCAATGTCCAGGTATGCTACTGTTGATACTGCCCGAGTTTGCGTTTTCTAGCGACAGAAAAACCTGTTTGGCTGAGATTCCCATTTGTTGTACAAGGAAAGACCCCCAGTAATATCTTAGTTTGCAAAGCCATGAACTATAGTGAATGGGAATTCCAGGATCCTAAAATGGAGGTACGTTAGTACCATATAAGGCCATATTTATATGGTAGGTACCTCCAATTTAGGTTCCTGAAATGACCATTGATATAGTAATAGTACAACCCATGAAATGTTTCTTCGATCCCACGGATTTCAACCCAACAGGTAGCCATGTTTGCCATGTTGGATTGCTAGAAAATGCAATGTTTCTGGCCTTGTTCCCCCAGGGTGCTAGAAAAAAAACTCATTCTTGGCAATCCAAAGTTGTTCGTCTAATATCATTTTTTGTTTGATATCCCATCTGTGTATACTAATGTAGCATGTTGTAATCAAACAAAACTTTGCTCTGGTTGCATGATTTGTAGGAACTCTAGGGTCCGGTAGAATCTTCGCACTTGTCGGAGCGATATGAGCGTCCAGCCGAACGTTCTGAGAATGGTTCAAAACATAGCCGAGGATGCGAATCTCAACCGAGAAGCTATTTTGATTCAATCATTCGGCCCCATTTGGTTCCAAATATACATATATATGTATATGTATATATATATATCATATATATACATATACATATACATACATACGTCTTCGTGCCAATGGTGGC